GCCGAGTTCCTGTAGAATTGACTGATTCGTTCTGAACTCCGTCCACGATATTTGCAGCATTCTTCTCCAGCATCACATTTCGAGAGCATCTATCCTCTTTTTCTCACTCTCTCTCAATGTCCAGGTCTCAACAGCATAAAGAAAAAAAATTGCTATACTAATACTAATATATATATAATATTATAAAGAGGAAAGATTTGTTTGTTTCTTTGTATTGAATAGGCTCCGAAACTACTGAACCGATTTGAAAAATATATTCACTGTTTGGAAGCTACACTATTCCCGAGTGACATAGGCTATAATCTTTTTTGAAAAAAATTAGGGATCCTTACTAAAACTCCAATAATGTAACCAAGGGTGTAAAAAAATTACCTAAAATATTATTAAAAAAAAAAAAAATGTAATGGTATAAAATGTATATAATGATAGTTATGTGCTTCGATCAATAATATTGATCGAAGGTTATGTGTTAGATTTTTTAAGTTACTAACATAGATTATAAGTAATTATTACTAACAAAATGTTATGGTTTAAAAAAAAAAACTGAAATAAAGTATTAATAATAATTATTATTATTATTTACATCGCGTGCCCTGCGAAAACTATTGATGATAGAATAAAATAATGTACCTACTACGACTTTGTAGAACACATTATTATTTACAAAAAGTGTCGCGACAGCATATTTCTAACTACATATTATAGTTATTCCGCAATAAGTGTTCTTTTATTTAAAAAAATAATACAACGACAAACATCCATGAAATTTTTGTTGACCCGAGCGGAGCCAGAGTGGGCCATTAGTATTTATAATAAGGCTCTTTAATTGTAGAAAGTCTGCTATTTTTTTTTTCATCTTGCGCTTGACTTTTTTTTCCATCTATGCTGATAGCCTTGAGATGAGAGGCTATTTCTGCTTCTCCTTGACGTGTAGGTGAGCTCTCGGTGCTCAAACTGGGAGTGTTGCTAACACTGGCCCTAGCAAGAGGAGTGCTTCGCCAAAACTATCACCATATTGGAAACGCGACCCACTGAAAAGATCCGGCGAGAAACTCAGTGGGCTGTGTCTGTGGGTTAGAACACTTGACGTGTGTCATTTGATGTATCACCACGCACTGACTTTCATTTTCGACTAAATATATACTGTTTTTATTTGAAGTAGGCCAGCATCGACAAACTGGCTGCCATTTGAAAATTAATGTGAGAAATGTAAACTAATTTTACGGCTTAATCTCCTTTCTTCCTTTGTCGGATCACCTCATTCTGCATTCGATTCTTCAGAGAAGCTTAATTATTGTTAAATTGTGTTTCCAGAGAGCTTGCACTCCACAGTGCGTTTCCAGAGATCTTTTTTGCCACGTACCATCCGGCTATGGAATGAGCTCCCCTCCACGGTGTTTCCCGAGCGCTATGACATGTCCTTCTTCAAACGAGGCTTGTCGAGAGTATTAAGCGGTAGGCAGCGGCTTGGCTCTGCCCCTGGCATTGCTGAAGTCCATGGGCGACGGCAAATGGCAATAAAAAAAATAATACTGTGTTTGTTTGTCAATGTTAATAGTGTTTTCGTGTGCAATAAATTATACTCTCTCCCTCCGTATATGGGTAACTGAAGAAAATAGTATGTATTTGTTTTAATTACCATTTCAAAAATGTATACAGAAGACCCGTTTAAACAACATCAATATCTGTTATATATACGAAATCAGTCAGTATCTATGTACAACAGTTAGCTGTAACATTGTAAATAAGCAACTCTTTTAGGGGGCTGGGTGTACAGCTTTTCAACAAGATCCCACTAAACGTTCAATTACTACCTGTTCATAGATTTAAGAAAACTGTTAAGGAACGTTTGTGCAACAAGGCATATTATAAAGTTAAGGATTATTTACTAGATGGCACTACGTGGGAATGAGGCGCTCGCTCCTGGCCTTTTCATTTTTCNCTCTTTTAGGGGGCTGGGTGTACAGCTTTTCAACAAGATCCCACTAAACGTTCAATTACTACCTGTTCATAGATTTAAGAAAACTGTTAAGGAACGTTTGTGCAACAAGGCATATTATAAAGTTAAGGATTATTTACTAGATGGCACTACGTGGGAATGAGGCGCTCGCTCCTGGCCTTTTCATTTTTCATTATTATTATTATTTTTTAATTGTAATTTGTTTTTTCTTTTATTGTAAATAATTTTATTTATTTAAAAAAAAGAAAATATTTAAGAAAAACAAAAAAAAAGCCCGCTGAGTTTGTTTCGCCGGTTCTTCTCAGGACTGTGGCTTTTTTTGGAACCGGTGGTAGAGTTAACATTGATAATTGTATTTTGACATTCAACAAGTGTGTCATACTGACATCTAAGTTGAAATAAATGATTTTGAATTTATTTATTTATTGTCACGACAAGTGAACGAGCTTACGGCCCATATGGTGGGTATTAAGTTGCTACCGAAGCCTGTCAGCCCACTGAGTTTCTCGCCGGATCTTCTCAGTGGGTCGCGTTTCCGATCCGGTGTTAGATTCTGCGAAGCACTACTCTTGCTAGGGCCAGTGCTAGCAACACCTCCGGTTTGAGCGCCGAGAGCTCACCTACACGCTAAGGTAACGCTGATATAGCCACCAAAGGCTATCAGCATAGGTAAGTAAATATAAATATATGTCCCGTATGTTCCATGGGGAGTGCTCTGAGGAATTGTTCGAGATGATACCGTCATCTCGTTTTTACCATCTCACCGCCCGCCACCGGAGTAGAGTTCATCCATACTACCTGGAGCCATTGCGGTCGTCCACAATGCGTTTCCAGAGGTCTTTTTTGCCACGTACCATCCGGCTATGGAATGAGCTCCTCTCCACGGTGTTTCCCGGTTCCCCAGCGCTATGACATGTCCTTCTTCAAACGAGGCTTGTGGAGAGTATAAAGCGGTAGGCAGCGGCTTGGCTCTGCCTCTGGCATTGCTGAAGTCTATGGGCGACGGCAACCATTCACCATCAGGTGGGCCGTATGCTCGTCTGCCTACCAGGGCAATAAAAAATAAATAAATAACAACTAACTAAAACACATAGTAAAATGAGATGGTAGTTAAGCTGGAGCAGGAAGAATTTGGAAATAAGAAGTTAATAACGAAAAGGAGATTTATTAAAACATTAAAGTCCTCGGTAGGCAGCGGCTTGGCTCGGTAGTCAGTCGTCCATGGGCGACGGTAACCACTCACCATCAGGTGGGCCGTATGCTCGTCTGCCTACAAGGGCAATAAAAAAGGGTCGAGCGTAATGCATAAGGTATTCTCTACCAGTCAAGTAAAGGTAGGTACTCTACCATTGTGTTTTGGCCATTGACCGTGTCGGACCTACGTTTAAAAATTAAAAAAAACCAGAATTTCTACAGGTAAATACCTTATTCTTTTTTTTTGTATCTGATTTAAAACACCAAGTAGGTAGGTAATTTTTAGCATTTCAATTACATAGCATTTCGTTTGGGCTGAATCAGCAAAGATTTAATTATTTGGAATGGCAATAGTGTAACGAACTAGGTCTTCACAATCGAAATCTTAAAATTTTACAACAAAAACAAAAAACAATTATGAACATGAAACGCAACAATGTTTGAATTGGCAATTCTTATCTCAACATTATTGTTTCCCGTTCACAGAGATTTCGCACAAAAGATTCGAGTGTACGAACCGAACTATAAACATTAGTTATGCGGCGAACTGTACAGGTAGGTGCCACGAAAGAGACAAAACCATCGACTTTAACGCTCGCTACATTTTAACACGCGCTATTTAGACTCGGACTTTCTTTCAACCCCGGAGAGGGGTTCAATCAATACAACAACCGGATCCGAAGACTAACCGACGGCGTTACAACGGCCATCTTGTAACCTATAACGTCCAAATGATATCACCGTCGCATTGAACGCGAAAAATTAGCCTAAAAACGTGTGCGATACGTTTATGAAGCGTTCGTTGTCGGCTGGACGCGACCTCGGTCAGGCTTTGGTTCGTAATCTGCGATCAAAATGGAAGCCGTCGGCCATCTTAGGTCTGCGAGCGAACGCGGCCCGCTTCGGGAATTTGGGAAATTGGTGTTTTTTTTTCTAAAGAGAGCAATATATAAGAGGTCGGTAGGCAGAGGACAGGGGGACGGGGGGATCCACGGGCAAAGCGGTGTGAAGGGAAAGAACTGTGCTTGGAGTACACGCGCTCAGTATCGCGAGGTTGATCTCGAGATATTTAAAATCAACATTTCGTGGAATTAGTAACTTTTACAAATTTTAAGTATATAAACGACAACATGTAGCTTACAAAGTAATTTTGTTAAAGTTAATAATGTAAAATAGAAAAGCAACTGATTGTTCTAAAATGCAACAAACAACAAATCAAAAGTTGTATCCTCAATTAGATTTCATTCGAAAATTATAAAAAATAAAAAACATACATAAAATGGCTTAGTAACATGTCTGTTTAAACTAAAAAAATCTGAAGCGCGAGCGATCATAAGATTTATCTGTAGAACGATCTTCGTTCTGAGTATATCCTGTGAGCCGAGCACCTATCTTTCATTGCACGTACGCGGTGCGCGCGGGAGGGGGGTCGCCGCGCGGCATACGAGGAGCCATCTTGCCAGCGGTCGTCGAAACGCTCGCGTCTCCATCCACAAATCGCCATTAATTCGTACTAATTAACAATAAAAACCATCTGAAATACAATAAACAAGTGTTAAAGTACTCGAATACAGTGCCGGAACGTTGTGATAAAGGAACATTGTTGATGTATCTATTCTGTGTTGTTTGTTTTAATGTGTGTGTGCATTCTGACTGTCTAGGTGAGTAGTCACTAGTCTTTGTGCGCGACAATTATCATTCTGATCGATTCGGTGAGCGCGGGGGTGTGCAGCCGGCCCGTTTTATATCTTTTGTTGTTTTGTAACGCCACCAAATCAATAATTTTAGTGTTGAACTCTCGCCGCTGGCTACACGCGTTCTCGAATACCAAANTGTTTGTTTTAATGTGTGTGTGCATTCTGACTGTCTAGGTGAGTAGTCACTAGTCTTTGTGCGCGACAATTATCATTCTGATCGATTCGGTGAGCGCGGGGGTGTGCAGCCGGCCCGTTTTATATCTTTTGTTGTTTTGTAACGCCACCAAATCAATAATTTTAGTGTTGAACTCTCGCCGCTGGCTACACGCGTTCTCGAATACCAAAAACCTTTTGGTTCGTTTTAAATGTCCGTTACCACTTGTGTCTGAAGTGTATTAATTGAATAGGACGTTCTGAATTATGTGTGTTGCTCAACATAGCCGTACATGAGTTTGGTTTTTATCGTGAAAAGATTAGAATTGCAAATACGGACCGTGCGAAAGTTGAATATTGATATCGAACTACAGGTAATAATTTATTTACTAACGTTAAATAACATCAGGCTATAATTTTGATTGAAAAAAATTAATCTATCTAACGTATATTATGTTGTTGAGAACGTATCTATAAATAGACCTGCCAGGTGTATGCAGTAGCGCGTTGCTTAATGCATTGGTAAATCACGCTATGCAACTGATATCAACTGAAAGCTGTAAAAAAAAAACTTGACAAGAAAAATTCTATTAAAACAAAATATTGTGCATATACGCCATTGCAAGCATACTACAAACAAATATAAAATTTAGAAATTTTATAAACGTGTTATCATATTATGTAAAATTTGTCAAATATCAACGGACTAATTTAACAATTATTTAATTAAATAACGTAATGTAAATGTTAACCTCATTTGTACACATTTATTTAAAGAAGTTGTTTATTTTTAATTAACCTTGTGCATTGAAATTATTTGATAGATCTGGAATTGCGGCTAGCTATATAGTTCGATTTTTAATCGGTTTTTTTTGTGTCATTAAACATTTTCAACAATCATTTGTAACAGTAATATGCAATATCCGTGCGACCTATTTCTCTTAAACATTGCAATCGTGACAAATGTATTTGATTACACGATCACTATTGAAGTCGAATACCTTCTCCTACTTACTCATGCAAATATGAATTTTCAACAATACCGTTAAATTCACAGAACATCATGACCAAGTAAATACTAAGAAATATGATAACAGAATTTAAGCAAAGGATTCTTAACACGTGAGCATATAACAGTCATTGCCACTATCCGTTTTTTTTTTGTATCAATTTTAACATATTAAGAGTATTAGCTTGTTTCTTAATAATATGGAGGCTTATTATACTCTTGTTTTCGTAGACAACAATGGCGGTCTCGTTTTAAATTTGCCCCTGTACCTCAAAATATACCACTGAGTTTCTCGCCGGATCTTCTCAGTGGGTCGCGTTTCCGATCCGGTGGTAGATTCTGCGAAGCACGGCTCTTGCTAGGGTTCGTGTTAGCATCGTCATCAGGTTTGAGCCCCGTGAGCTCACCTACTAACCACGGTTACGCTAAAATAGCCCCTAAGGCTATCAGCTTAGGTAGAAAAAAAAAAAACAAAATATCATAGACATTTTGTTGGTTTGATATGAATCAGGTAATTTTGACGTAAACTTGATGGTTTTTTTTCCTTGTTTATGTTTCCTTAACGAATTTATTGTTTTATTTCGTTTATATTTTACTCAAATGCCATCAAGAATGTTTTAAATGTATTTATTATAACTAAATGTTATAACTTTAGTCAATTTGAAATATTATTATTGGAGCAGAAGTTCTGCTACCCAAATACACGTGCTTACAGATCTATCGGATCCATTAAACCAATTATTAGAAACCTGCTGCTCTAGGACTAGGAGCAAGCATAGCGACCTTGGTTAAAGCTCCTTGTCCTGGTAAAACCTAACTCGTAACATTTGCCCGCTGAGTTTCTCGGCGGACCTTCTCAAAGGGTCGCGATGCCACTAGTAGATTCATTCGTGAAGCAACCTCCCTAGAGCTGTCTGGTGTCCTTCGGAGGTGCTCGGGCAACTATTACCGAATATCTTACCTCCTGGCTGAGTCCGAACTCGCCAATGTGTCTTGGAGCAACTAAAAAGGGCTTTATCGCCACTAGAGATACTACCAACCTAAAAAAAAACTCAAAGATTGACAAATGTTGAGTTGGCTTTCGTAAGCATAATACGTTAAATGCTTAATTTACTTATCGATACAAATTGGTATAAAAAAAGTCGCTTCCCTATTGCTTTATACCGATAAATTCTCAAAAACAGCTCCGAAAAAATGCTATTGCCTTCAAGTAAATAAACAATAAACAAAGCTATCTTTCATTCAGAAACAAATATCAATTAATAATATTTATAGGTTGATTAAGTAATTAATTTTGAAAACATTGTTACGATAAAACATTACATCATTCAGATAAACCCATTAACCTCATTGAATGAGTCCACGAGTTCACATCACTGTTCAAATAAAATTCGAATTTCGATTATTAAAATCGAATCAAAAATAAATCGATCGACTGTTACGGTTAAGATGTGTCCTTGTTTGAATAAAAAAAAAAAAACAAGGTCTCTTTTCAAATTATTCATGACCGTTTCTTACATTCAAGTGTATATTCATAATTAAAATTTGTATTAATAAAAATGTATTTTAGTTTTATTTTATACTTCAATCTCGTATGAACGCTTTAAATGTGAAAAATAAAATGAACTAGAGGTCCCGCAGTAGTCGAAATTCGACTATAATTAATTGGAATTGTAAGTTTGTACACTATTATGATTGTATTTTATACTTCTATAATTACAAATTTCGCCAAGACTACACTATAAAAATATTAACAAAGACAAACAATATTTAATCTATTCTCAATTTGACAACAGACGTCAAGAACAAAAGTTTGACAATAAATAGTATGCATGCGTGTGTGCGTCAAATACATGGTATGTAGTGTGTGTAATGCTTTCTTTATTGATTTAATGTATCTTTTATGCATTATTTAAAAAAAATATTAGCATTGTGCACTTCTTCTCTATATTCTCTATAAGTGTGGAAAATTTCATACGCCTCCATCCGCGCAATTTTCGTAAAAAGGGATACAAAGTTTTTGCGTACTAATGCGTTTAGTTTTTGCGTACTAAACTTCACGTATTAATGTATAGATATCGAAGGTAGCGCCATATAGCGGATACGAAAGCGTTGAGCATGAAATAAATGCATTGGCGACGCGCCTCGCGAACCTCAAATTACCTAGACGTACTTCAAACCAGTACACAGATAATCCTAATACGTGACGTTGAGTATACAGCGTATCACACGACGAACTACCGAGTTACATTTAACATTTGTCGCGTTGCATTCCAAAGACGAGATGGGTCATCTTTTTAGTGACGGCCTATTACGCGACCGGCCAAGTTGACGTCCGTAGAGTTCAGCGTACGTAATTACGAATGTCGTATACAAATCGTTCGGGTTTCCTTTTAACTGCTGATTCATCGGTTGTCAGTGTGATTTTATCTCGATCCGGCGAGCGATTCTTTTTTCAACAATGACGGATCATTTGTTTCTTGTTATGAAGACACAATTTGGAGAAACTCCTTTCCGTAAAAATTCGTTGTATTTCAATATAATAAAATAATCTGATTAGTTGGTGCTTTAATCATTTTATTGCTTACATCTATATCTTGCAACTGTTATTTATAAGTGCTATTTAAAAATAGCATTACAGATAAGCAGTGCTTTGCAAAAATAACGTTAAATCGCTGAAATAACAGAACGCTTATAAACCTGTATCGAACGTTTTTAACATCATAAATTTATTTACCACATTCTTTACCACATTTTTTCACCACAAGAACTCACTAATAAAATTTATATATATATATAACCGTATCTCTGATTGTCACATGCGTTCAAACGGTAATTTGTTTTATGGAGATCGGTAAAAATGTTAATTATTATTTGTAATAAATAGCTGTAACTGTTAAAAATTAGGAATTTGCAATAAATATCTCTATACCTAGTCTTGCCATAAATACTGAGACAAAGGAAAAAAAATTCTATTGCAAATAACATTTATTACTTTTACAGTGTGTTAGTTTAATACATAAATATAAAACAATTTAAAGTATATAAAGCTTATTCGAAGTGGTCGCCATTGGCTGCAATACAGTCCTTTAAACGTTGAGGCCAGTTATCAATAGAAGCACGCACTCTTTCCATGGGAAAATTTTTCACTGCCAATCGTACGGATTGTTTTAGGGACTCCAAGTTATCATGGCGTTTAGAGCAAGCCGTACTCTCTAAAACTGACCATAAATCATAATCCAGCGGATTAAGATCGGGACTAGACGACGGCCAGTCTTCAGCTCTGATAAAGTCCGAAACGTTCGTTTCCAACCAAGACTGCGTAGACCGAGCTTTATGACCTGGCGCCGAGTCTTGCTGGAAGGACCATTCTTGATTATTGAACATGGTGTTTTTAAGGGGCTTCACTACCTTATCAAGAATGGTATCTTGATACACTTGTGCCGATGTTTTGATACCTTTTTCACAAAAGTATAGCCCAGTCACTCCTTCATAGCTAATACCCCACCAAACCATCACTGAAGTCGGATAGTGCCCACGTAGCACTCTGTCGACTAATTGGGAAGCTTCCTTAGAGCTTTGAGCATAAATACGGTCATTTTGTTTGTTAAAATGTTGCTCAATTGTAAAAAAATTCTCATCCGTAAACAAAATTTTTCTATGACCTCTCTTTGCGTACCGATTCAGTAGTTGTTTCGAATTTACCACCCTATTCTCTTTTAAATTATCAGTTAAGAAATGACCAGTACGTCTCTTATAGCCTGCAAGTCCTAAGTCATCTTTTAAAATACGCGACATGGTTCTAGGTGCTATCTTCATCTCCCGAGATAAAATCTTTTGCTTTCGGACAGGATTTCTTCGAATTCTTTCCCTTCCTGCTTTGACCACCTTTTTCGTACGAACACTACGTGGACGGCCAGATCTTTTTCTGTCACAAACAGAGGAGGTCTCATTGCACCTATTAATAACCCGGTACACAAACATTTTACTAATACCAAGCGTACGGAGAGTTTTAAAAATTGCATTTGGCTCCATACCTACTTTATGTAATGCAATCATAGCGATTCGGTTCTCTTTATCACCCCACTCCATTTTAATATCGCAAAATATTGTACAATGTATTGGCGCCAAAATGAGAAAACTCAATGAGCAATCATATAAAAATGACAGATTCCAAATTCAAATGTAATATTTTGTTTATTTTTAATTGTTGCAGTATTTATGGCCAGACTAAGTAGAAGTATAGATTAGTATAGATATAGGTTATTGAAGTATTTACAGCGAAAACGACACGTAGTATTTTTTTTTCAACTAGGTATGCCAGAAATATTTTACAATACAAAATACGCTACCTAATCTATGTTT